AATATAATAAATTTTTTATAATATATGTATTTAAAGTTATAATTTAAAAAATTCCAGTAAATTAATAATATTTTACCTTAGTCTTTTTACCTTGCTTATAAATAATAATAATTTTATAAATAAATAATTATTATTTTATGAAATGTTATATGTTATAAAGTAATAATTTTATACATTTTATGCAGTGAACTATCAAATTTTCACATATATTATTTGATATTCTGAATAAAAAAACTGTATATATAAGTCTATTATCTGAGATTGATAGTCCAATTAGTGTTGGATTTATTATTTTAAATTTATAGAAGGTGATTTAAATTTTATGAACAGATCTACAGAAAAAAGAAACGAAAATTTTATGTGCAAATTTTATAATGCATACAAAATTACTGATTAAAAATTTAGTATAAAATATTGCAAGTTGTGTAATAAAATATTCGAATAGAATTTAAAATAATTTAAAGTTTTATTAAATATTACTTATATAAAGGCTTTATTTTGTTGATATGTTAGGTTATTAATTATTATTAATATATCTATATAATTCTTTACAGTGGAATAGATAGGGGTATGTGAGATAATGTTCGAAATCTTAGGGGGATTCAGTGGCGCGTTATAACTTCATGGGCTTCAGGCGAATTTGAAATTAGGGGGTCTCAGGCAATTTCTTTTTTTTTGTCCATAAGATAACGTGCCACTAAAGGGGATTTTTAGAGATTCTAGTGAAATAGATTTACATATTTAAACTTTAAATTAAAAAAGAAAAAGAAACTCATTGTGATTTTTGCCTCTAAAAACATAGCCTATATATGTTACAAACAGGTGGTCCTTCGAACGATACAAAAATGAAGCTATGCCACTGTGGAGCCAGAAATCTTTTGCACAGGGGCCCAAGGGTTCTAGTTATGCTACTGATTATTTACGAATTATTCTATGTGATGCGGATAAACCACGATAAAATGTAAAAATTATCGGTTCTCTTTTAATTTTAAGGATTTTTTAAATTGTTTTTAATCACGACATAATTTTTATTCTGATTTAATATACAGTATATTAAACAAAAAAGCTTCTATGCTATGTCAAGCTTACAAGGATCCGATAAAGACCTTCCAGTCACAAATGTGAGGCCCTATTCTTCTCCGAAAGCCATAAAAATGTATGAATAATATCAGTAAAACAAATTAAAAAAAAAAGAGATATTTTACTACTGTCGAAAGAAACTTTAATACATATCACTTTCTTATCGTAGTTTTTTTTTTTTACAAAAAAAAGATAAAATTTGGGGTCCCCTCCGTGTGCAAGACAGGTCTAAATGGCCTTGCTGACGTCCCCTGTATTTGGTATTCACTTCATAATTTGTGCTTATAAATTCAATTTCTCTTTAATTTAAAAAATATATTATTTATTCTTATAAAGAACAACTTTCAAAAATAATTTCACATTTTTCTTGGTGCTAAAAGTGAAAAAGTTTGATAAAAGTATAATTTAAATGCACCAGATAACTGGAGATTATCCAAAAAGAAAGAAAGAAAAAAAAATTCTAAATTGTTATTACTATTTTAAGCTCTAATCTTTGGAAATTTTATTCAAATCACAAGAATTATTATTTCTAATAATATTCATTTTAATAATTATGAAATAGAAAAAGATAATTCAAATAATTTTCACAGAATTTTTAAATATTAAATTTTAATATATTGTTTCTCTCATGAAAGAAGGAAACATAATGTTGACGACCTTAAAATTATAAAGCAAATTCTATCCATTATCCATTACATAAATCAATACGATTAATGTAAATAACTGTATTATTTATTCATTTATTTACTTCTGACATATGTCATGTCACAGTAGGAGTTTGTGGCTATCCCCAGGTATTGGAAAATGCTATCAATCAACATACAAGCTGGCAATAAAATAAAAACATATAATATTAAAATATTACATAATCTAATAAATATATTGCTTATATATTTTAATAATTAAATACTTTTTACATGAATTAGGTTCTACTTACATATAGTCATTAATATTTTATGTAAGTGGTTAAAAATATGCTGTAAAGGGTGAGATACAAACGTTACAGGTCAAGTATTATTATGTTTGATTAATATCCTATGAATCACAATTGTTTTTCTTTCTATTTATATTGAAAAAAAAAATTCTTATACAAGCACGAGTTTCTCAATCTGTAGTTCGCGGTCCCCGATTGTTTCGAAGTGATTTAAGTACGCTAAAGTCGTAAAAAATGGTAATAAAAGTTTTCATTTATCAAAATAACGTAATAATAAATAATAAAATGTAAATTTTATTAAATAAATTCGAATTTATAGCATCCGGTGTAAAATATTTTACATCGACAAATTCTATAATAATAATAATTTTAACTTTAAAAAATTTTGTTATATTAATGACGGTATTATTAATATAGTCATAAATTTCATTAAGATAAGAAATCATATCAACGACAATATCGATGATAAACATGATAAATAACATTAGACATCAATAAATTGGTTCGAGTTAACGCCGTTAGGGAATACGCGCCTGCGCCGTAGGGAAAATGAGGAAAGTGGAGAAGAGAAGGCAGACGACAAACGGAAGTCGAGAGAAAAAGAGCGATGTTACCTTTCTCTTAAAACTTGGCTGGAAAAGGTAAGAATGGAATCGTTAATCCGACATTTACATCGTAATATCGATATATAGTTCAGTGTAGATCGAAGGAAACGTTTATTTATTAACAATATTTTAATTTTGAAATGAATTCATCAATGTTATATTTTCATTAACTTCATTCAGAATTTAAGTTGCAAATTTAATCAAAATTTCAATTCTTATGTCTTTTGATTGCTTATTTCAATTCTGTACATTGTTTTTCACATTTATTACAGATTTTCACTTATTAATTAATATAATTGTATTATTATTTGAACTTTCTTAATTGATTTTAAGTGGATGATGTTTTCAATCTGCCTCAATTTACTTACCAAGAAATTCGTGTCGTGCCTTGCCTTTTTTACAGAATTTTTACATGGTGTGTTAGTCCGCGCATGACTTGACCCAGAGGACCGGTGGTTCCACCTTAGTCTGGCCCCGTCCTCCGATTCTTTTGGCGTGGGTATACCTGTCTGTGGCAAAGCTGCCAACGATGTGGCCGGAGAGGTCTAGAGGACACGCGAGCCCCTTGCCACGTCCAGGCAGGGATCTCGGAGCGGGCGTGTTATGCCGTTGTTAACATTATCATCTTTGGCTTTTATTAGATAAAATGATTAATAAATTGTTTTAATGCTAATTTTTCAGTTTTCTAGGTAATAGATGCATCTTTTATTATTTGACTTCATCTCTCTTGAGTATCATTGACATCCTACTAACATAGTAGTCCATTTCTGCACGAGTAAAAAAGTTTGAGTTTGCATGTGATTTTTTTTGAGTTGTTGCCTTCCAAAGTTTTTCTTCCGTTTCTCTGATTGTACCAGATGCACTCAAAAATTGTAACTGTCTTTTAATTATCTCTGTACTGTATATTAGGTGGAATTGTAATCTGTATACTATATATATAGCCTATTAAATAAACAGTTTAATTTTGGTAGAATGTATCATCTATCCGGCATCAGCTGTGTGTACAAATGTCAGCAAATAATATAATAATGTTAATGATCTCAAATCATACAAGCATTATCATCATCATTTTGTAAAGAAAGAAAAAAAACTGAAACATTATCTTAAAATATTACTGTTTTTTTGATTTTTTTTTAAAAAGTTATCATCAGTTCTTGTAAAATTGTTTATCACTGCAGGAAGCTAGTTTTAGAGAATTTCTCCTTGGGTTGAAAAATCGTTCCTAGACTCGTGGTTCCTTTTCGGGGTTTTTTTTACATAGGAATGTCTGAAATCTACCAATGATCCCAAACAGAAATTTCTAAAAAATGAATTATTTGGCACATTTGGACACTTCTAAATTCTTAACTTGTATGTGTGAATAATTTGAGCAGATTATTATATATTTTTTTCTTTTATGAAACCTATAAAATTGTAGATTGGTTTCAATTTTACTATTTTAGTAAAAATTTATTTGAATACAGTATATTTTAGTTTTAAAAAATAAAATAAATTTGATTAACTCCATAAACTGTTCTTTAGTTTAAAATTTTTGCAATATTTTCATTAAAAAACAGTTTTTTGTTGTTTTTTTTTTAAATTACAAAATAAATTATTAAATTGATTTTACAGGCATACAGTGAAATTAAAAAATTAGTATCTGCTTTTATTAACTAAATGACGTATGATGTATGGTATTTTAGTATATGTTTACATTTTACAAATTTAAATAAAAATCAAATAAAGTTTAGTTTAAAATATTCAAAAGCATTTTTATTTTATTTAAAAATCTTAATACACTGTTTCTCATATATTCTAATACCTTTTTAAAAAAATTTTATTCTAAACTACTATGAATTATTATTGCTTTTTATTATATGCAATCAAAATGCCAAATAATCTGACATATTATTGGACTATAATGAGGCTAATTTAATAGTTTAGATATAAAGTAATTTGAATAGAGATAGGCAGTTTAAATCTGGTTTGTGGATTTATTGTATATATATAACAATAAATTTGATTGTGTGTGCATGTATAAATATATATATGACTGTTATACATTTTGACTATATATATATATTCAAATATTCAGCATTTTGATGTGTGTGTGTACACACACAATGTCAAAATGCTGAATATTTGAATGATAATTGATCGATTTCTATAATTTGTTAGTTTTTAACTTCTCAACTTCATTATTTATTGTAATATATATAAAACAATCTGGGTGCAGCCATTTCTGAGACAACTGGAATTTATAAATAGCATTATTATTTTTTTTTTTCTACTTACACTTCTACATAAAATAAAGGTTTCAAACATTCAGTATTAAAACTTTATGAATCTGAATATACGGAATTTTTATAAAATCAATTTTCTGAACCATTTATGTCTGTAATTGATTCTACTTGCGTCATTGACATCCTGCTGTGTCGATGTTCTCGTTCTGTATCCTAATATGGATTTATTATTATTAGTTTTACAGTATTAAAAATATTTTACTTCAAATTTTGTTGATATTTTATTACGTGTTGGTAGGAAAGTAGATAAGTTATATTTTAAAATGACAACAAAATATCATCTGTTCAGTGTATATGATTAAAATTCCATAACTTCCATGAAATATTCTAATAGAAATAAATTTTAAGTTTGTAAACAGTTATATAAAATCCAGATTGTCATAAATTTGGGTAAGATCTAATAATAAGACATTAAATTTTCAAATCTTTTATAAGTGGAGAAGAAAATCACTGAGTTTTTTGAATTGTCAATCTTTGAAGAAATACATTGCTAGTTTAATTAATTTGATTGAGTAACTGCCACCAATTTATATGATGATAATGTTAATGCTGAGTGTTTTAATAAAATAAACAGGCAATACAAAGATATAAATCGTATGCCATCCAGAAAAATAAAAAATTTCTAAACTTGTTAAAATTATTTGTCTAGCTGTGTTTAGTTTACTAACACCTATACTGTAACTAGGATAAGACAAGTGAGCATTTATTTAACAATATATATGTTATAAAGTGCAAAATGAAGTAGGAAAGTAAAATGTTTGTTTCAATGTCCACTATGCTAGTTTGCCTCAGATATATGGAATTTTAGTTGTTATACAATGGAATATATATTAAAAATAAAACTTTTCAAAAGTCAGGTTTTGTTTTGATCTTTGTTCATTAGTTAATGTTTTATTTCTTCAGAATTTGTTTAGATATATGTTAATAGGCATCCTTATTTAAATAACAACCATATGCTGATTAAAAGGAATGAATATACACGTTCATCCTTATGAAAAAGATCTTTTATGATTACTTTTCAGACAGGTATAACAAGTCTTAATACAAGTTTAATCTTTTTAAGATGATGAGAATATATGGTATTTTTGTATAAAGTAAATACATATAAGTCATAAGTATATTAACTTATTTGACTTAGTTTTGCAATTTCTTCTTTTTAAAATGACTTTCTAAAACATACTTGAATGAGTAAAGTGATTTAAGCGGAGTAGTTTGAAGCGATGACAAATATAATGTTTACAGTTATGTATAGTTCTTACAGTTGAGTAAAATTATATAAATATTTTAATAAAGTGCTTCCATTTTTAATATTTATTTCATCAGACTTACTGATAATGTTAATGTGAACTTATTTAAATTTTAACTGTATTAATAATCAAATGCAAATAGACCAAATTTTGAATGAATTGTTTATATTTTATTTCATTGCCTAACAAAGATTAGAGAGTGGTTAAATATATCAGAATGATTAAAGCAGACTGGAACATTTCCTGAACATCTGTTGCACAAATGTTCAGGAAATGTTAAACGATGCAAATGAAATCTATTATTATAAGGCCACGTGGTGAAAGCCATTTCTGGATTTAGTTCATTTAACATAGACAATAACATTGTGTAATTAAAAGAATCTGTTAGTATCTGTTGAACAGAACAATTTTTCTTCTATATTGATGCTTGATATACTTCCGAATGCATACTATTATTACAAATTTTGCAGCTATAAATGTTTTTTTTTTTTTTTAAATAACATTTATATAACCTTGTTTTAGCTACAGAATGGTATAAAATAACTTAGAAACAAATTCTAACTGGGAAAAAAATTATTAGAATTCATTGCATTCCAGATGAAATTAAATCCTTCCACTTCTCTATACAGATAATACAATGCGTTTGCTCTCTCCTATTGATAGGATTTCTTTGATAAACCATGTTTGAGAACATTATTAGAATTTTGTAAACAAACCATATAATTTTTTAGTTTAAAAAAATTTATTTTAATAATTAGTTTAATTAATATCCAAAAAAAAATTGTTTTTGCTTGTGAAAATTTAAAGTTTAAACTAAAAAATTTTCCAGTTTTGTAATGAAGACAGAATGAAAAAGAAAGATGAAAGAAATTTTCATCAAAATTTATGTACCAATATATCTTCATAACATGATTCCTAGTTTCACTGCAACATGCCTGTTATTTGGAGAAGGATAGTAGTGTTGCTGGTTGTAGTGATTGCTATTTTACAGGTAAGATAGTAGGCTAATATTTTAAGTATTAAAACTGAATAAAATTGAAGAGATAAATTTAATATTTTTATAAAATAATTGGTAGTAATTTTTCATCTAATTTTTTAAATTTATATTTTCTTNATATTTAGAATATTTCTTTATTAGTAAAAGACAGTCTTACAAGTTTTATTTTCTTTTAGTAAAAATAGCATTTATTTAAAGAGATAAAAACCACTAAGTTTATATATTTAAATCTACTTTCTAATGTTTTAGTTGAAAAATACTAAAATTTCTATTATTTGCTCTTTCTTCCCTATTGGAATTAAAAGGACACTTTTCATACTTATAATCGGTTTGTCCTTACTCATAGGGCACGGTGGATTCATAAAAAATTCCTGGATTGGCTCGTTTAGATTCGACCCCGGGTTTCCCAAAGCGGTAGTTTGACGCCATTGACGTTCGAAGAGGGTGTAAATGGGCAATTTGCCCTGGGATAGAGTAAAAAATTTTACAAATTATAATCGTAAAAGTGATTCGGATATGCAATCTTACACCCTCGATGATGGAACACTTTGAGACAATACTGTATTCTATACTTTACTCGTGGAAAAATCCCCAATGAAATTTAAATAAAAATTTATCGGTGTAATTATTTCTATCCATGCTTTGTCCTCCCCGGGAAAATTATTTGCAGAAGTCCATGGGAAACCCTTCAACCACCTCAGCCATCTGTCCGTTTTTATACAACAATATTCAAGCAGAGTATTGGCCGTATAGCCGACTCAATTTCATTAATCATAAACAGGCCTGACCTGCAACAAGGTCGAATACTATGAGTGAGAATGGGAACGATACCCCAATCTGGAACTACTCACGGGAAATCACGAGAATTGCATCAGACTCGAATTTGGACCTTTGTGGTCGTTGAAGAATAGGTTAACGTTCAGTACGGCCATGGGCTGACTAAGAATGATTAAATTTATAATGAATTCTATTACATAATTAAACCTCCTGATATTTTTTCAGTAGATAAAACTAATTAAATAAATGCTAAAGTTTAATTTATGATAAAATTAATTATTAAGTTCTTATTGACAATGTGGGAAGCGTGTATTAAAGTATGGTATCGATAACTTTAATGATACAAAATTAAAAATAAAGTAGATTTTATGAATAGTAAATGAAAAATACAACATATAAAAACTTCCAGAAACTACTTGCGTAACTTTCCCGGCAAAAAGTTAAAATTGTCTATGGCGCCATCTGTTATGACATTTTATTCTAAAACTTTTTATACTATTAGTTATTATTAAATGGCCAAACGCTTAATTTTGAGGGTAAAGATGAGTTTAAAAAATATTTCAAATGTTAATAACAAGTAAATTCTTCATTAAGTCTGACCTCACTCGAGATATGACACATGTACAGTACCTCTCTACCTTCTCAACCCCTTCACCTTTAACCATCAAAATTTAACAGCATCGATGTCTCTAATACCCGAACTTCCCTGCAAAATTTCAGAAATTTTCAACAAAAGGCATTAGAGTTATTGAGCAGTTCTAGAAGCCATTTTTTGTGATAGCTTTAATGACTTTCATTGCTGCAACGTTCATTCTGCTACTTGTTGGATATGATTCGGTTTATTTGTACACAGCAACACGGCACGTGGATGATCTGCCGAGAGGGAATGCCTTCTGGGAGTTCTTTTAGGGCTAACTGGCCCCTATTTAGGCGTTACTGACGTGAAGAAAATACGGAAAACTCCACGTGGCCAACCCGTTCGGCGAGGCGAGAACCCACGACAAACTATACTGTTCAGTGGTTTTATCCACTCTGTCACTGATGAGCTTTACCCGTCACAATGAGGACCATATTGAGTAATAAGAGAGGTCTCAATATAGTATAAGTGGGGTCGGACTTAAGTTATTAAAACTTACGATTTGTTTTTATAAAACTTATCTGTACTGTCAAAATTAAGCGCTTTGCTATTTTATAATAATTAATAATATAAAAAGATTTTAAAATAAAATCTTATAACAGATGGCGTCACACGCAATTTTNCCGGGCTGTGAACGGCTCACGTATTTGTAAAATCTAAGTGACTCGTACAACATGAAATTCATATGGTGTTCAACAGTGTTATAGGGGTCGATTTTATAAATATTTTTCGCCGGAAAAGTTACACAACTCTTTGCTGAATTTTCTGTAGTAACTCTTTTAAAAAAATCTTCGAAGTTAATATTAAAAACATACATGTTTAATGAAAACAACTGACTTGTATTTTGCAGTTCTTTTTTTAATCTACGTGACTAATGATTATCATTAAAACAATTCTAAAAAAATTTCTAGCAACGAGTTGAGCAACTTTCCCGGCCAAACTTTAAGTGGCAAAAAATATAATTTTGAGGATAGAGATGAGTTTTATAAAAAATATTAAATGTTAATAATGAGTAAAAGCTTCATTAAGTCTGACCCCAGTCGAGATACGACACGTGACCGCCTCTATCTCCCCACTCGCTTGACCTTTAATCACCAAAATTGAATAGCAAGAAGCCCCCTAATACACAAACATCCTTGCAAAATATCAGAAACTTTGGACAAAAGGTACAGGAGTTATTAAGCTTGAAAGTGGATGAACCAAATCGCATCCTCCCACAAACACGTACACAAACACGCAATGATATCCATATATACAGAAAAAACCCCAAAAATTTTTGCATTTCCCCACTTTTCAAAGTCCCCTTGAGTCCAAAGATGTAAAAAAAACTTGAATTTAATAAAATCATAACAAATAATAAAAATTGGCTTATTTGATTAAAATATTCACGTGTAATTTGATATCTTACAATACGAGACTTAGCTGAGCTCACAGGACAGTGTCCTGTGAACTCAGCTAGAAGAGGCCATTGAGACTTATTTATCTTGGTCCTGGACACAAAGGAGCCTTAAAATTTAGTATTGTATATTTTAAAAAATCGAGCAAGTCCACTCGAGATACGACACATGGTCTTTCTCTATCTACTCACTCCTCGATCTTTAACCATCAAAATTTAATAACAGTATACACAAACCTTCTCGAAAAGGGAGGTTTGTGTATTTGGCAGAGGAGTTCTTGAGCTTCAAAGCGGATGAACAAAACAGTGCCTTTTTACGCACTAACATCCATACATAAAGGGAAAAAAATCTTCTCTTCAATTGTTTGTATTTCTCGACGTTTGAAGGCACCCCGAGTCCAAAAGTCTGAAAATCTTGGAATCATGTTTTGACAGATCGCCATACTTTTCCTCTGTTGTATGTAATAGCCTGCAAACATTAAATTTTAATTTTGATAATACAGTAATATTGAAAAAAATCTATTTATATTTTTATCGAATTTATTATAGGCTATATTTTTGTGGGCACATCTAGGACCGCCAAGAGCTTATTTAGGCGGGGGTAGGGCTCTTTACCACTTTGACGAACAAATAAAATATTTAGAATATTTCTTTATTAGTAAAAGACAGTCTTACAAGTTTTATTTTCTTTTAGTAAAAATAGCATTTATTTAAAGAGATAAAAACCACTAAGTTTCCTTCTGGGTGGGGAAAAATCCTTACTTCCCCTATCGACAGTCTAGGCTCACTTTATCTTATTAAAGTTGTTCATTTTATTGTATTTTTCACAGATAATAAAGACTGTTGTTTGTATAAATGCAATTTAAAATTTAAAAGCTATTGTTTTCATAAATTTAAACATTAAAATCAGCCGGTCAGATGACCGAAACGGTTAAGACACCAGCATACCGCTCTGGGGACTCGGGATCGAATGCGGGCGAGCAACCAAAAATATTTTTGAAGGTGACCTGCGGCGGATGTGTCTGGCCCATAGCTTTGTAGAACAGTTTCGGCGTCCGAGGCAGACATTCGATGTTAATTACAAAATGATTCTACCGGCTTTTAATTTCGTGGCTCATTTTGGCACCTCCATAATCGGCGTCCTGCTTACCTCACACTAGACTGGCACTTCCCTTACCATCAGGCAGCCTCATAGTGAGCCTGACAGAACCTAGACAGGCCTGTGAACATGTTTCCTAATGTCTACAGTTCGAAAAGAGTAAAAAATAGTAGTAAAACCACTGAACACTGGTAGTTGGTAGTGGGTTCACGCCTGGCCAATGGCTTTGCTACGTAAAGTTTTCTGGGTTTCTTCACTTCAGTAGCATCTAAACAGAGATAATTTTCAATAAAAGTCCTCCCAGGAGGGATTCCCCTTGGCAGATTGCCCATGTATCGCGTTGCCATATAAATATACAGTAGAACCAATCAAGTAATAAAATAAAAATAATTAATTATTTCAAACAATCAACTGTAAAATACAACAAAAATTAATTATTAAGCAATTTATAAGGACTAACATTCATTCATTTTTAGTTAAAAAGATTGTAAATCTTTTTAATTTAGTTCAAAAGATTTACAACCAAAATATTTAAATTATTAAAAACAATTTTCTTTTTTATTACATTAAGACAAATAGTAAAAAGTAAAATTTAAAAATAGTTTTTTTTTAATTTTATAAAATAAAAAACATTGTATTTATTATATTCTAAAGTTTTTTAGATCTATTTGTATAAAATTACATGAGAATACTTATTTTACTTTCCAAGTTGTTATATATGACAGAGGGAAAGTATGGTGCTCGATCAAAATATGACCCACTCAAGTTTTTTACATTTTTGGACTCGGAGGATGTTGAGAAGTCAAGAAAAGAAAAAAAAAATTAAGGGTTTTTCCTTGNTAATTTTTAATAAATTAACTCTTATGAAATGTTGTTTTATATTCGTTTAATTTACTTTTGTGTTTTGTTTGAGAAAATAAATTTCTGGTCAAATTTTAAATTTGAGAATAATGTAAGGCATAAAAATGAACAATCACTTTCCGAATTAATTTTAGAATCGTCTAATTTAAACAGACAAAATTATAATTGCTCTAGTTAATCTGCAAATGATGAAATTTGTTACAAAATAATAAAACCATAGACTA